TCCTCCCTCCGACGTTGGTAACCGAAATCTTCGTCGTAATCTCCTCTTCCCCTTTCAAAATCAACACCTCGACGCTGAAAATCAGCACCTCGACGCTGAAAATCAGCACCTCGACGTTGAAAATCAGCACCTCGGCGGTCATTCCCCATGCTCATCTCCTCTCTAGAGAGTGGCTCTAGAGGTGGCATGTCGTCATCCCCTTCAAGAATCTCCACCTCCGGATTCCTCCTCCGAATTGGGTTTGGATTTCCTCCTACGCCATGGCCGTCAGTAGTCTCTCTCACTTCTGATGTACCCTGATTGCATGTTCAAAATAGCGCGCGCCGCGCCGTGCGCTATGCGCCATGGCTCCAAATGGATCTTTGCGCCATGGTGCGTCATTCGCCGTTAACAGGTATGGGCTAGAGGTGCTAGTCATGGGAAGCAGAAACAGCCAAATGTCTTAAGATGATCATAGGAGCATGATGTTTTGTAAAGAAGTTGGTAAAAAAAAAATAAGTGCTTCTGAAGATAGATGATTAATTAATCAAATATCTCACCTTGGATCAATATAAACATGGCCAAATCTCGTCAAATCAAGTTTTATAAACTCAAACAATCAATCAACTTGTTTTTATGGACCTTTCTCAATCTAAGGTTATAAATTCTAATAGAGTTGTCTTGTTTATAGGACAAGATTGTGATAGGAAATACTTGATTCCAAGTATTTCCTAATCACTTTAGCCAAAGATCTCACAGCGAACTGCTGTCCACAGCAGGAAATCAGCCAAAACAGTGGGAAAACGCGAGAGAAACGATAGAAACACGAAGTAAGAACTTGTATTTTACTAGAAGATGAAAGGAAAATAGCAAAGATACAAGGATCCTCTATTCGAGAGGAGGATCGCACTCTCCCAATCTCTAGAATTCAATCTAGAGCCCTAGCCACCAAAGAAGAACAAGAAAAACTTTCACAAAATATCTCCTAACCCTAATCCCCCCTTTTCTCCCCTACTTAATGCATACAATTCAAATCTAAAACAAAAGGACCTAATTACCCTTGCTTCCCCTCCTTTTGGCTCCAAGAAACAATTCAAACTTCAAGTGGACCCCACCCCTCTCCCTTCTTCTTGTGTCCGCCGGCCCTCCTGGCGTAGACGAACAAAGCCGGCCCAAGGAGCTGGGCCGGCTGGACCGGTCCTCCTTGGACCGGTCTAACAGATTGTAATGCCCATCTCTACATGCTACTATAACCAGCGTAATAAAATATACATCGAATTTTTTTCTTAAGCTTAGTCTTATAAACCCACTTGGCTTCTTTAATAAGAAGATTTATAAGTACCTAAACTCTAATAAAAGCCCAGAAACAAATCATTTTCTTCTTATACACCCGCAAATACAAATCTTATTATTATCATTTTAGAACAAATAATTTTCTTCTCATACACCCGCAAATACAAATCTTACCTAGTCTGCACAAATGAACTTAGGCCACCTTAATAAGGAAAGACTATAAATCCCATCTCCAGTTTCACTACAAATCGAAGATTATAAATTATGATTTCTATGCAATTTCAATATCAAAGTCATAAGACCAAGTTACCTAATCCTTTTGTTGATCAAATCCCTACAAGAGCCAAGCCAAAAGCCCAATTTTTAGCTTTCTCCGATTTTCGAGCTAATTTCAAATCAGGCCTAGATCAGATTAAGCTAGTTCAAGATCAGTTGGAAACATGATTATGGATATTTTAATATTTAAAATAATAATATTTAGGTCCATATTTATATGAGTATCATAAGTGCACATAGACATATAAAACAATTTAATATTTTTAGGGAGAAAAATAACTGATTTTAAATTGGCTGTAATATGGATTGATTCAAACCAAGCTGCCTCAAAATCAAATCAAGTTGAGTCACAAGCTAGTTTTGGTGTACGTTTGATCTGATTTCAAGCCTAGACTTAATCGGTCCAAAATCAAATAATTTACGCTTTTAATGATATTTTTAGAAATTATTGCATACAGCATGTTTTAGAGGCAGCATGCAAAGAAAAAAATCGAAAGGAATACAATAGGAATCATCTCACCAATAGTAGCAATCTTCAGAACCCATGAGAAAAAAAATTCTGGAAGAAAAATGCTTCTCAAGCCAACTTTGAATAACACCGAACAACCCCAATGATCATTTAGTGCATTATTATACCTTTTTTTTTACTAAAATGAGAAAATTTTATTTTTTTGGATGTTGTTTGGTCTAAGAAAAGCCGGCTTGAGAAGTATTTCCAAAATATAAATGTGAATGCAAAGGCAGATCAAACTGAAGGACTTACCGGCAGCTTTGAAGATACTGCTAGCATAAAATAGTATGCCATTAATTCCACTTGCTTGTTGCAACACTAAAAGACCAATTCCTATCTGCAAAACACAATAAAACAACTGCTCCATTAAGAAAAAGCTATGCAGCTAACTCATTAAAAATCACCAATAAAGAGAAGAATTACTATAAGTGGAAGTTTATATTTTCTTTGCTTAAGTTCATGGAACCGTATAGCAGTTCTTCTATTTGATGATGATGCAACAGCCCTCTGCAAAAGGTAAGTGCTTGCATAAGTGTTTAAACAAGAATAAACTCATAAAGAAGCAACATTTGGTCAAGATTTCCTATTACATCCCATTCAAAGAGGGCTCTGGATAGCTGAGTTAAATTACAGTAAGAGTATAACAAACACCTCCAGCACACTGAGCATCTCCTAGCCTTTGTTCTATTACTTTATAAAAGTAAATTAAGTCCCTACCTTGATTTCATTAACTTCTACAGTGATATCAGCATCAAAACCCCTCAAGACTTGGAGGGATGCTTCAAAATCTTCCATCATTCCCATTTTAGCCTGTAAAGCCATGATGTGATATTTGCAGACAACAATAATAAGTGGAATTTTGTTAGTTTTTATTCCTGATGAAAATGCTAGTGGTATTGGACCTTACCAGCCACCTTGGAGACTCCGGAATAAAAAACAGACCAGGTATGAGCAATGTGCACGGAAGGATTCCTGCAAAATTATCAAGCTTAGAAATCATTTGAACTACCTCAGATTAATTGAACTTTTAACGCTTGCATAAGCTTCACAAATGCCTCTTATTTAGAGCAAATTCATTATTATGATGAAAGGGCACTTCCACAGAAGCTAAATTATGCCAAGTAAACAGGAAGAATTCTAGATATCAAGTTGAATCCTCGTATGATTTCTTCAATTTTGTCATTAACTAGCCAAATGTCCCAAGCTGAGCTATGCACTGTCCCATTCAAGTTCATTTATTAATTTCCTTGTTGAAATCGAGCTAAGCTTGAAGAAGGCATATTTAAAAATCTTTTTCAACTTGTCCGTTTTCCTTTTTTTTTCCATCAAGACTCTCCCTTCGTTTGGGACGACTTTCTTATTGGTTCTTAAAGCAGCTTTCTAGTACAAAAATTAAAACTTTTGTATAATAAAGTTGCTTTAAGAAGCAGTAAAAAAGCCGTCTCAAATGAAACCTAAATCACTATGAGATGGTAATGACTAAGGCTTCATTTGAGACAGCTTCCTTACTACTTTCTAAAATAGCTTCCTAGTAAAAAAAAATTTAGTTCAAAAAATTTTTGTACTTAAAGATTGTTTTAGAAAGAAATTAAGAAACTCTCCCAAATGAAGCCTAAGTTAAATAACCATATCATCAAAAATATACATGCATTCAATGCGGTTAATAAAAGAAAATAAAAACATAGACTCATGTTTCCAAGAATTTTCCCAGAAATAAGTTTGTTCCATAAGCATGCGTCTATTAATCTGTCCCACTTTAGGTGCATTGAACTGTGGTAAACTAGAGAAATTAAGAAGAAAAAATCAGAAAAAAAAAATGAAAAACAATTTCACAAATAGGCCATTAAACAACCAGTAAATTGGTATTTTATTGAATTCATATTAAGATAATTATTCAAAGACAAATTGGCACGTTCAAAAATATAAATAAATAAGTTTCCATATGTTCAAACTAGTACATATATGTCTATATTTACAGATTATGTTCAAGAAATTCAATCAACTAAATAAAAGAAACAAAGAGCCATGGTAAAGACAATTATCTGAGTTGTCCTTGAGTGTAATGATTCACTAACAATCCTTCATCTAACTCAAAAAGTATTGCTACTAAATCCCATAAATTTAAGGACAAAATCGATGCAACTAAACTCCAATTATTGATAAATGGGTGGAAAAATCTAAATGAGAAGAGGACGCGCTGCATCAACGGTTTAAAACACTAAGAATTATCCTTTTTTTTTTCTTTTTACCCATCACTGCAAGCACTCTCCAATTGACAAGCATTCCCAGGATGTAAGCCAGCAGTATGCCTATGGTCACAGAAAGCTGCATAAGCAAGGTTCATTATCAGAATACATAGTGAGTCATCCTCCACAAAAAGTAAAAGAGATAGTAGTAACCAACCTGATTGACAGCAACAAGCCCTCCTCTCATGTTCTGAGGAGCAATCTCTGCTATATAAACTGGCACCTAAACCAACACCAGCAGAGATTAATCCAAAGAGCAGCTCAAACAACCCAAATAATGATCAATAGTAACATTAAAACTTCGCATACCGTGTAAGAAATCACGCCAACCCCGAATCCCTCCAGCAAACGGCCCATGTACAAGAACGATGAGTCCTACAACACATTCTCAGAAAAACAACCATCAATGGAAGATACAGTGCAACAGTACAGCACTTATTAGAATAAAAAAACTACCTTGGCAAAGGAGATAGCCAACCAACCAATTATGTTGGGTATCGAAGCGATCATAAGAGACTGCACAAAACCGCCATCTATTGTTTTTTCACCAAAGAACAAGCAATGAAACCAGATTTAGGTTGGAGGAATTAAAAGCGTACCCCTTTCCGCCCAATGTACTCGGCTATCTGGCCGCTGGCAATAGCCCCAACCATGGCGCCGACGTTCGATAGAGAGCCGAAGAACGAGAACTGACACCAACATAGCCCAGATCAGAACACAAGCAAGGGAATTGTTTACTTAAGAGGTAGCGAAGACAGCGAACCTCGGAGAGTGAAAGATTGAGGTCGCGGATGACGTCTTCCTGGGTGGGGGAGGAGTAGCCGCCAGTGAAACCAAACTGGATGGGGCCGAGGGCGACGATGATAGTACAGAGAACGACGGAAATAGAGGAGTCGCGGATGACAGAGGCAGAGGATCCCAGCTTATCCATCAGGCTAGATTGCCGCGATCCCATCCCCATCCTATACCAGCTTCCCGTGTGCAGGAACGGCTTTCGAAGGTCTGACCTACCCTCCTCCCCACTGCTATCATCCCCTCGAAAACTCATCCTCTCTGATCTGGAGGATAAGGACGGAGAAGAGGAAGAAATGGATCAAGAGGGAGAGAGGGACCGTCAGACCGCGGGGCTAGCGAAAAGTTGATCTTTTATGCGATACCGCGCTCCAGCAAGCTGAGGAAGGAAAGGAACGCCGTCGGTGTGGATAAGCAGCAACAGAGCGGAGAGCAAGCGGGAGGACAGGCGAAGATGGCGTGATGGAGTTATCAAATTTGGGATAGAGATTCTCCTGGCCGCTCCGCTTGTCAGTTAATTTGCTCGTGCGCTCCACTCGCAGCGACCTTTATCCTGATTTTGTTACCAGAGAGCAGAGCCGTTACGGACCCTCGAGCTTGGATTCAGCTTTTGTTCAAAACAATAATTTAATGGATGGTTTTCTTTCTAAAAATCAAATTGTTGATGCTTTGATTGTTGCGTAAAACAAGTCCAACGAACTTAGAAGTAAGGGGAAAAAACAAAACTAATGGTGCGTAGAACAAAGTAAAGGCTCAGTTCTGAGTTCCGAAAGCAGACTCTACACCTCTTCGTTTCAGACGGTTCCTCTGCACTGCGAGTCTGCGACATTCATAAGCTTTTCTTCAGGTAAGAGAGGGTAGTTAAGATAAATGGTAATCAAAACGGATTAATTAGATAAATTAACGGAAAAAAATTTAGTCTAATATTTGGTCACAATTAATTTTAAATTATTTAGTTTATTTAATTTTATGATTAAAATTTTATAAATAATCAATTAAATTTATATTTTATTAATCATTAAATAAATTTAGTAAAGTGAAAATTTATTTTATTCAAACGAAGGCTTGAACAATAAATTGAACAGTGTTCAACCAAGCCTCTAATTTAATCCGACAAGGTTCACAAAAGGTTGGAGCGAGGTTATTACAAGGTTGAAGCAAGGCTCGAGTAGACGAGTAAGTTTTAAAACAGTTTTCAGTGTTACTATAATAATTTAAATTATTTTTTAGTTTGACATTAGCAACAAACTATCATAATGACAAGCATTAAAATATTCATATCCAACTCGACAAGGATAAGTCTTATCGTGTTGAGCTGTAACAGACGATTCTCATGATCTAATTTTAGAAATGTTTCATATCATCTTCCAAATTTTATTTTAAATAAACTACATATTACATAGCTACTAAAAATATTCATAGTACTATAAATAAACTCATCCAGAGATTATTTTCATCTCATCAAAATGTAAATCTATACTACAGTATATGGCTCAAAATAGAAGCTACAAAACTAAATAATAAACTAATCATGACCGTTCAAAAATCAAAACAAAAAAATACCTATAAACTTTTATTTGATTATGAACTGCTAATCAACAAGTTCTTTCCCTTTTTCAGATCTTGAAAATCAAAAGCAAAACTAAAGTGAGTTACAATATCTCAGCAGGCTATATAAACGATCTAAATTTTTAAATTCTTTAAATAAATATTTTGTTAAATATTTACAAACAGTTTATTAATATTTTACACTATCTCTAATAATATGGTTGTATTTTGAAAATGTAAATTTTGCTCAGGAGTACTTTCAATTTTCTACTATCATAGAAAATTGTGCAAACTACCATAGAAAATTATGCAAATATGATATGAGCTTAATTACACTTTAACTGTTACAATGTGATGGCATATATGCATGTTTGATTGAATTATATCTGATACGACATCACAAAATTAGCTTGATCGGGCACGAATCTC